AGAAAAGGAAAACAAACAGAAATCCTGGTTCTGAGCATATTTATCTAAGCCCTGGAACTGAAATGGCACAAGCATTTTGTGTCATCTGTCAGAAAAAATCCAAACATCGTTCGATTTACATATYTGCTGAGGAGCTAGGAAATAGTTGGGGAACATATGTACATCTCCTCATAGATTTACAAGCAARTGGATTGTAAAAATATTAGCAAGGGTCGCTGTAGCTGGCTTAATTTCAAAAAGGTCTGCAGAAATACATTGTTTCAAAGCCTCCTTTTGCAGGATTACATTATCGCGGGCGCCTTTGGGTTGGGGTTCTTTTGTCGTAGGGTTTTTGGTTTTTGTTGTTGTTTTTTCTTTTAACACTTTTTTGAAGAGCAGAGGAGAATTTTGGGATAAGCAGTACAGAATCGTGCGGCCCAAATTTTAGGTGCTGCTTAGAAACAGGCAGCTCTCGGAAGAGCTGTATCCTCAAACTTTGGAGAGGAGTGCAGTAAAGAAACCCCCAACTTTTTATTATCGCTTTCCCAGCTTTCTGGCGTCCTTTATTTTTGGGTAACCCATCCAACACTGAGGGGGGAAAGCAAACGGCTTTATCAAATACTTTCAAAGTTTCCCTTCAAGCTAACTTGTGGSAAGGGAAAGATCATCGCCTTTTCTACTAGTTTCTTAAAATCCTGCTGTTCTGCAGCGAGGCTGCAGACAAGTTGCATATCTGTTAGCACGCTTGCACTGACACATTTCCAAAACTTTCTGGGTTTTTTGGGGGGACTGTAACACCACTGAAACAAAAAATTGTATTGTGCAGAAGCTGCTCCCCCCCTCCGTCCCCGCTTGCAGCCCAATTCTGTTTGATCAGTCCTGGCTGCTTTTATTTCCACTTGGACTTTGCTAATACCTCAGCGCCGAGATTGARGCGGTGCGATTTTCCGGAGCAGCGTGTTTACCAAGACACTTTGAAAGTTGGTCTGTTTATGAGTCGTTAACCTTTTCTCCTCATACACCATTTTGAAAAGACACATTAGGGTGTAATAGGGAYGTGCACACCTCGCACCCGAGCAGCGGTGCTTCTCATTTACTTAAGCCACAGACCCTGACTTTGCACCAAAAAGCATCTTGTTTTTTTTCCCCCTCCTTTTAAAGWGGTTTAGTGTTTTCTTTAAATATTTTTTTTTTTGCGGGGGGTTGTTGTTTTTACCTCCCCTTTCAGGTCCACATTGTAGAAATCAGCTTTAGCGCAGGTTAAAGCAACTCTCTCTTGGATGGTATCCAGCGCCGAGCCAAAAAAGTCCCGAGCACATGAGATCAGGCAGGACAAAGCACTGCTTAAAGCAGAAAAGTTAAAATATTTCAGGATGTACCAAGACGTGTTTGGAAAGTGGGAAGGCTGGAAGCGCTGCCCTGGCTCGCTGTGGGGCTGTCGAGCCTCTCTRCTCTGTGTACCTTCGCAGATAAACTTCCACTTGACAAAAGGCCTTTTTTTTTCCTTGACTCTCCCTGAGTGGGGAAAGGGAAGGACAGGAGGGATCAGGAGGAAGGGTTTATTATTTTTAATAGCTTGTAGAGACCTGTAGTTTTTATATTTTTCTTCTCCCCCCCCCCCCCCCCCCGTGAGAGCTTTTTCTGGTGGGTGAGAGCAGCTCGATGTGCTGGGATTGTGCCTCCTCTCACTTTTTGAATCTGCCGACTGCAAACTGGCAGCAATTTTTTTTTTTTTAAACTTTATTGAAATTTGAAACTATCATCTTTTCCCATAGAGGAGGGGGGGGGTGTGAAAAAAGAGGAATGTGCCAATCATTGGACTGATTTATTTTATTTTACCTGCTTTTATTTTAAGAATTGTTCATAGTACTTTGTTTGCTGCGGCTCTGCTCTAATGAAATATGTTTGTTGTTAGGGAAGTTTTTAACAATCTGTGTTTAAAATGAAAATAAATGCAATGGTGCTACCTATAGATTTAAGTACCTACAATTCTGGGGTCACTCAGAATAAGTGCAATGAAAGCTTTTTGGAAGTCAGCAGAAGGTCTTGAATTACGACAGGATTTTGCTGATAGGTATTTCTACTATTGATTTCTCAATTTTTCATAATTTCTGAAAAGAACAATGCAAATTAAAATAAAGTGTTGAGAGCAAGTAAGTTGTCTGTTTTAATAACCACATTTGGGCAACCCACAATGATTTGGGTAGGAAATATACTCCATGGGATTATTTAAAAAAAAAAAAAAAAAAGTTAGTTTGTTAATCTGAAAAATCCCCAATGTTTAATTGCACAAGGGTAGGCAGCGGGTGGCTTTTCCCATGCTGGGGAAAATGTTGCACAAATGATTTTATTTTTCCCTCTTGGAGGGCCCAATCCTACAAAAAGAAGGTACTGGAAGCAGGGACATCCCCAASTCGCAGCGCTGGATCAGGCCCCACAGGCTGGATATGTTTTATGTGCAGCCTGGAGTTCGGTCATTCATTTATTCAGGGAAAAAACAAGAAGCATGGCCCCAGTATAATATAATGTGTTTTGATTTCTTTGGCTGATTTATATAATATTTTCTAAGGAAAATATAAATATATCTATATATATATGCACAATTAAAAAAAGAAAAAAATCAAGGGGTCTTTCTCGCCTTTTTTTTATCATCAGCATAATTTTAATTGCAATTATTTTTGTGCCAAGGGAGAAGGGTGATCTTTAACTTCTCGTTACACAAAGCAAGCAGTGTCTCTGGATGGCTAAACTAACTTTCCGAGTAGGGCATTTCTTTTTAATCTTTTTATCTGAAAATCTGACACAATTAATAATTCTTTACGTATTTGTATGAGTTGTGCTACGGTTTTCTGTTACTGTGTATTTCAATTTTTCCTAGTTTTTTGTTTTGTTTTGTTTTTTTAAATTTTATAGGGACGCTCAAAGTTTAACTTTCGCTAATATGCCCAGATATCAAGTTTTTTTTTTTCTTTTCGACTAAATATAAAAAAAAAACTTTTTTTTTTTTTAATAGATAAATTGCAAGGCTTGCTTTTTCTAGGATTTTACTGTTAGTTATTGTTGCGCTCGCAGGATAAATCGACCGCGGTACTTCTCGCTCCCTTCACTGTTTAGGAACCAGAGTGAAAACCACCCTTCRTTGTAATTGTATATACAGCTATAGTGGCATTTTACTATTCTGCCGGCTGCTATTTCCAAATATATCTTAGGGAAAGTTTTACTATACTTTAGACTTCCCCATACAAACATTGATTGGCATCCAAATGTTTAGGATTTGCCAAATTGGCGGGCAAACGCTGGCTACACCGCAAGCAGCGGGGTCAGGGAGAGAGCAAAGGGAGATACGCGCTCTGCTAGTGGACTTGCAGAGGAGTTTTTAGCTTTTAACTCATTCTGCCTCTTTTTTTTTTTTTTTTTTTTTTTAAGGTTTAAGGACTGGGGAAAGGGGCCCAGCATTGCACTATCTCCATCTGGGCGCTTGACTGAAGTTGGAACCGGTTTTTGGGGGGCGGGAGCGGAGGTTTTTGGGTCGGCGCGAGGGGAAGCGGGGACGCGGCGGTGGTGGTTTTGGGGTCCCACAGCCCTTAAAATTTATCATCACCCTTCCAATTCTCACCATCCCACGAAAGCCCTGTTTTTGGARGCTCTTTGTTGATGGTTTCAGTGACATCGACCCTTCTTTGTAACTTTTTTCAGGATGAATTTCATCCCTTCATCGAAGCACTTCTGCCTCACGTCCGAGCGTTTGCATACACGTGGTTCAACCTGCAAGCCCGAAAAAGAAAATACTTCAAAAAACATGAAAAACGTATGTCAAAAGAGGAAGAGAGAGCCGTGAAGGACGAACTGCTAAGTGAAAAACCCGAGGTAAAGCAAAAATGGGCATCCAGACTTCTGGCAAAGCTCCGGAAAGATATCAGGCCTGAATTTCGGGAGGATTTTGTTCTCACAGTCACAGGAAAAAAGCCTCCGTGTTGCGTTCTTTCCAATCCAGACCAGAAGGGCAAGATGAGAAGAATTGACTGCCTTCGCCAGGCAGATAAGGTCTGGAGGTTGGACCTTGTTATGGTGATTTTATTTAAAGGTATTCCGCTCGAAAGTACTGATGGCGAGCGCCTTGTAAAGTCCCCACAGTGCTCTAACCCCGGGCTGTGCGTACAGCCCCACCATATAGGAGTTTCTGTTAAGGAACTCGATTTATATTTGGCATACTTTGTGCACGCAGCAGGTAAGTGCTTTTCTCTACCACCTTCTCCAACTTTTCGGTTATCTCCGTGCCGGGTGCCGTGCCCCGGCAGCGGCTGCATGAGTCGGGGAGGGAGCTGGGGATGCCGGTTATGGTTCTCCCGGGGCGGCGAGGAGGGTGCCAAAACTCTCCCCCTTCCTTTTATTTTTTTTTTTTTATTTTTTTTTTAATGGGGTTTTTAAGGTGAAGCCACGTAAAAGTGGCTCATGTTTTCCCGCGGTTAACAGCATTTCGGGCATCCTTCACAGGTGTTATCCTAAATGTTGTCCTAGGAGGGCTCGCAGCCGGATGCGGCTTCCTTTATCCTGATTTTGGGGGGAAAGGCAGATAGATTTTAATTTAATTTTTCTTTTTTAAAATAAAGTTTGTATATGTTATGAACAAAGTAGTCCAGGAGGGCTAGAGATGCCTCAGGCCTGAGGGTCAGGAGTACCAGGTATCCTCACCCTACAGAGATGAGATGGGGAACATGAATCTTACAGGAGTGGGCTTGGAGGGAAAGGAGAAGACCGATCCTTGATAGCAAACCTAGTCATCAGGTCTAAGTGGGCATGTAACAAACCTCAGGGTAATAATAGAGGGAAAAGAACCCATTAAAACCTCCTGAAATATCACAATTTATACACCTAGAAGCTAAGCAGGTTTTGCAAAAAATTCCTGATTTGACAATACCGTGCTTACGAGGAGGGGCTGAGATGTTTTTAACGTGTGATGAAAATCTTGGGATCCCAGACTCCAACACGAAGTTACACTCCGCCTGCGGCRTGACTCGATGTGCTCAGAGCATGTGTAGCGTGTTGACTGGATAAAATAATATGCTATTGTAGTCCTCCTGAGTGATTGCAGTGCAGAAAAATGTGCGTGCATGAAGTGCGAGGCCCCGAGTTGCACGTATGGGATGTGTGGGTCCTCCAGCATATCCTGACTTGTGAGGTGAGGGGATGGACAGGCTGGAAAAACAGGGGAGCAGCGGGGAGAGGAATCATATTAGTAKAAACCACTTCTGTATAAATATTTATCGGTAAGAAAACTAAGCAAATTACAGTCCAGGGAGCCTGCATTTCCCATGCCAACTTCTTTCAGAGGTCTTGCAGAAAGTTTTGGCTTCCCYGAAGTTTTTCTGCGCCGAGTCCCTGCCGTGGTTGTTGTGCTAGGCAGTGTTGCCGCTGGGATTTTRCAGATATGATCCCTGTTCGGAAATAACTTTCGAGTATCCTCATGGTATTTCCTACAGATAAGCTGCAACATTTACTTTGCACTTCGGTGCGAGGTGGTAAATCATACTGCTCGTTTATGGTGAAGGGGAAGTAGGCAAATATCAGGGAAAATTATTTATTTACTCTGCACTTTATTATGGCCACAGTGAAGGAAGGATTATGGATAAATGACTAACTGAAGGGAGCTTGGGGCTGGGGCATTTCAGGTCACCTCCCATTCCATCGCCGRCCCGAGGGGACCATGGACTCACATCCCTTTTGTCTGCCTCAGTTTCCTGCTCCACGTGTTGGAGCGGTGTGATACACTTAAAATGCTTTGATGTCCAAATAGAAGCTATAAACTTCTGTTTACTGATCTACAGCACGCAGGTTTTTATCATTTAGATATATACATGGCGTGGTGCTGGTAAATACTGGTCTACACTGTATTTCCCAGGCCCTCCGCAGAGCGCACAAGTTGATGATAGAAGCCAACATTCTTGGCTTAGCTTGCCTATAAGGTCACAGAAATGTAGGATTGGGAGAAAAGGACCAAAGCCGTGCTGGAAGTGTTTCGGGGAGCTTCAAGGGATCTTCTCCCAGTTATAACAGTCRGGCAATAAGCGTTATAAAAGTTCAATATTGTGATTAGGGATATACCATTTTATCAGCACGCCGGTGGCAAACAGTAGCTTTGATAGCAAACTGTTATTTATTCCTGCCTTCATCATCAACAGGCAGCAATTGCACTGATCGTCCTTCGGGCTCGGTATTTGCCGCCGAAACTCGGCACGAGGTTTTTTGGGGTTGGATTTGGGGATTTGTGTGAGCAGCCACGCGCCTGTGCAGAGCGCACCGCGCCGTGTTTTCGGCCGTTGTTTGCTGATTGCACGCATCGCATTGTGCTCTCAATGCAGTAGCGTGTGCTGGCGTACTCCTGCTAAACCTCAGCGGGGAGGGCGACAAGATGATTTTTGGGAGGTGGCACAGCGTRGTCGCTGTCTATATGGCTTCACGGAGGTGTGCCGAAAGCCTTGCGTGGAGCTACCTCTTTTTCTTCCCCCCGTTTTTCCCGTTTTTTTCCTCCCTCCGATGTATCCCAGCAGTCTTTGTTACACCTGAACATTGGCCAAGTTGACAGCCATTGGTTCCCGCAGACCCGCAGTAATGGCAGCTTGTGCCGGGTGCGCAACAGGAAAATTACAAAAGAAAAAAATATTAAGGGTCCTTTGTCTCCAACTCCATCAGACCTCGCTCCCCAAATGTACGGACCACCTATTTATAAGGAGGAAGTCGCCAGCGCAAATATTAGGTAGGCTGGTCAACTTACATATAGCGGATTTGACAAGCATCTGCTATAGTACAGAAGATTTGTAAACACTAAACAATGTTTTTACCTCCTTAAAAGTTTTGAGAAGTTGCCAGTATTGGCAGGAGGCACAGACTCCGAAACGTGCTTGAAGATACGTGCCAAAACCATTGTGACCTTTTCACCCATAGTGCTCGCTTCTCTTTTTCTTGTGGGATTTTTTTCCCCCCCACTTTTTGTCTTCTTTTCTTGGGGGGGAGTATTCTTTTCCAAGATGCCCCTTATTCGAGATGACTTCGGCAGCAAGATGTCCCTTTCCTGCTAAACATGTAGGATAATTATTGCTTTGAATCCACGCTTTTCCTTCAGTAGGCACTATCATCTGTAAGGGAACACATGTGCACAGATTTAAATAGTGCTTCTTACAAAGCTACTGAAATCAATTATTCTCTTTAAGAACTGGCTAGAAAGAGAAAACAAAAATATGCAAATAGGCAAACTACATGTCATTTTCTTTAAAAGATTAAAAAAAAAGAAATTGAAAAAAAAAAAAAAAGGAAAGGAAGATCGGTGGTTTGTGAATTAGAGGTTGACCAAAAAATGTATTGAAATCTAGAGTATTGCTCTCAGTTTGCAGTTTCTAATCTGCTTAACTAAAAGCAGGCGGCATTTTCATACCCTGAACTTGGGTTTGCTTTTTAGTTTTCACTTATTCTGCTCTTGTATCAAATGACAAGTTGGAAACCATTGTGGCAAACYGTTTTCTTTGTGGGAGTCGAACAGTAAAGCTAATTTATGACCGGTCCTTTACCAGATGATCTGTATCAGAATCTACAATATACTAGGCACGTGGCAAGGTCACAATTTAAGTTGTTAAGGTCACAACCTTAGCCACCAGGCATTTGACCTTTTAGATAAAGTTAACCTTTGTTCATTAGTAGGCACTCAACCGAGAACTTTCTGGAGTTTTTTACTGCTTTGGAGTTCCTCCTGCTAATGTGATCAGATGGGAGAATAGATTCGCTATAGAAGTAGTTAAATTTTCTGAGAGGTCACAGTTTTTAGAGACTTCTCCAGTGGCCGAAGCGGGATGGCGGGCCAGGAGGCGATGCTGCAGTGCCCGGTTTATTTTTTTGGCCGGCCATCRTTTTATGCGCTTCGGGCGAGAATTAAGCTCGCGAGGTATTTGTGGCAGAGAAAATCTTTTAATCTTTCAGAAGGACATTTAAAAAATCCCTAATTTAAGAAAAAGTCCAGGGCTAGGGTTTTATTTACACGAGCTCGCTTTTCTTTTCGCGTTTAGACTCGAAGGCAGCGAAGATGCCAGAACTTAGCCTTATTTCTGTGACTGAAAATTTACTTAACCTCTAGATGTGCTCYGTGGTTAATTGCTGGGCAGTGGTATACAGCACATGACCTTGAACTTTAGGCTAGACCCATTTTCCAGATTTAAAATACTCTTTTTGGCCCACCACAAAGAGGCATCGACGGGAATAACCCAAAGATGGGTTAACGCAGGAGCCCCCGTACCCGCGGAGGTTTCGGGGGGTCCGGGAGGTGTCCGAGGCTCTGCGCCGTAATCTTTTAGTACAATTGGTATTGATTGTTGCTGCATTAATCCTGTTAATAGCYGCAGCCGGGCCGGGTGTCGCAGGGGTGGCAGAGGTGTCCTGACARTACCGTACGTCACCGAAAGAGCTGTCGCAGCGCCTTGAACTCGCGATCGCTGCTCTGCAAAAGTGGAGCGTTCGACGGTGGAAACTATTGCTGGCTCATACAGAAACACACACCATATTGTTTACTTAATTATGCCGGAGCGAAGGCTCATTTTTAATTATTTAGCTGACTTTCTCGCTCTGCTCTGATACCACATTTATTATTTAATTTGAAATCAAAAGGGCTCGCGCTCCCGTTAGTTTTTTGATGCGTTTTACTTTTGTTTTGGCTACGTTATTGTCATTCCATCGTACGGTAATCCAGATAGCCGTGATATGCAGATTGGCCAGATGGTCATGTTAACAGATTGAGAACCTACTTCCCACTGCTAAAGAGCAGGTGTAAGATCAGTGGGCTTTTTTTTTTTTTTCTTCTCCTTTCCTCCCAAGTTTCAACCAAAATGCTCTTTAGACAGATCATTATGGTAGTTAAAAAGGGGCACATTTCAAATGGTATTTGTTCTGTGGAGGTAATGCGTGATGTATATGTTGTTTTTACGCGTATCAGAAGACTTTTAAAGCATCCATGACATTCCTTCCACCTATAAGTCTTTGAAAAATGTACTTGTAGCTCATGGCTGTTCCAGTGTATATCTGAAACAGTCCTTAAAGTTTTTTTCCTGTGGACAGATTGCATTTACTCTTACTAAAAAACCACTTCAGGCAGCTTCGCAGCAGGTATCTCACATGTGTTCCCTGCACAGGGCTCCCAGTGCGTGCCCAGGAGAACCTGAGCAGATCAACATTCAGCAGAGATTTTAA